ATAGTTATAGGGGATGCAATCATAAGGGGAATAGATAGGCATTTCTGTGTCCACAAACGAGAATCCAGAATGGTGTGTTGCCTCTCTAGTGCTAGGGTCCTGGATGTCTTGGAGCGATTGCAGGAAATTCTGGAGGGGGAGGGCGATCAGCCAGTGGTCATGGTACATGTTGGTACTAACACCATAGACAAAAAAAAAGATGAGGTCCCAAACCCAGAAATTAAAGAACTAGGAAGAAAGTTGAAATGTAGGACCTCAAAGGTAGTTATCTCAGGATTACTTCCAGTGCCACAAGATAGTCAGAGTAGAAACAGCAGGATATATAGGATGAACACATGGCTGAAAAGATGATGTGAGGGGGAGGGTTTCAGATTCATGCGGCATTGGGACCAGTTCTGGGGAGGTGGCACCTGTATGAACTGAATGGGTTACACCTGGGCAGGACCGGAACTGATGTGTTAGGTGGTACTTGGAAGAGTGGTTGGGGAAGGTTTAAAATAATGTGGCAGGGGGATGGGAACCAGACCAGTAGGGCAGTAGATGCAGAAATTGAGAGAGAGGTAGTAACCAGGGCAAACATGATGAGGAACAGGCAGAGAAATGCTGTTGAAAAGAGCAGGGAAGGTAGTCTGAAATGTGTGTGTTTCAATGCAGGAAGTACAATTGGCAAGGTAGATAAACTCAGATCATTGGTTAGTACTTGAGACTACGATACTATTGCGATCGTGCAGACTTGGCTGAAAGAGGGATAGGACTCACAGCTGAATGTCCCAGGATTTAGATGTTTCAGGTGTGATAGAAAGGGATGTAAAAGGGGTGGGAGAGTTGCATTACTGGTGAAGGAGTATCTCACAGCTGTACTGAGGGAGGATACATCAGAGGATTCATGCAGCAAGGCAGAATGGATAGAACTCGGGAATAGCAAAGGTGAAATCACAATGCTAGGGGTATAATACAGGCCTCCCAACAGCCAGTGGGAGATAGAGGAGAGACTATGTAGGCAGATTTTAGAAAGATGTGAAGGTGGTACTGAAGGTGGCAACGCAGGTAGATAAGATAGTAAAAAAGGCTTATGGCATGCTTGCCTTCATTGGAAGGGACATTGAATGTAAGAATAGACAACTTATGATGCAGCTTTATAAACTTTATTTAGGCCACACTTGGAATATTGCGTACAGTTCTGGTCACCACACTACCAGAACGATGTGGATGCTTTGGAGAGGGCACAGAAAAGGTTTACCAGGATGATGCCTGGTATGGGAGATTTTAGCTATGAAGAAAGGTTGGATAGACTGGGTTTGTTTTTACTGGAACACAGGATGTTGAGGGGCAACCTGATAGAAGTTTATAAGATTATGAATGGCATGGATAGAGTGGGAAGTATGAGGCTTTTTCCCAGGGTGGAGGGATCAATTACTAGGGGACACAGGTTCAAGGTGCAAAGCGGGTATGGGGGGTGGAGTTTAAAGGAGATGTGCAAGGCAGATTTTTCACACAAAGGGTGGTGAGTGCCTGGAATGCACTGCCAGAGAAAGTGGTGTAAGCAGAGACAATAGCAGCATTCAAGAAGCACCTGGACAAATACATGAATAGGAAGGTAATAGAGGGATACAGAGAAAACAGTTTTAATATTGAAGGGCAAATTGTGTCAGCGCAGGCTTGGGGGGCCAAAGGGCCTGTTTTTGTGCTGTATTGGTCTTTGTTCTTAATAATTATTGTGTTCTGTAATGTAATTTGTTTGTTTTTCTTTTGCTTAATAAATGTTTATGCTTTTCTATTAAAAGTATATATTCAATCTCTGGGGGTATGTTCAGTGACTGAACTACAAAATAAACAAATGAGAAATAAAACTCAGGGTCTATCAAACCAGGTTTCACTTTGTGATTTGTCTCAAATTACACCTCAATCACAATACTACAAAATTGGTAACAGAAAGTCAACCAATCTTCAGAAACAGTATACCTAGCAGGTTTGTAGATATGAAGTTTTGAGGAATTCCTTGGTAAAATGACATTAACTTGTAACAGTCAATCTCACTTATCTGCACTATATAAGAGATAATCCACTATTACTTGTTCAGATTAGATAGAAACAGATACATAATATACAAGAAACAAATCTATTTAACTAGTTATCACAATCAAATATACCCAATAGATACTTACATCAGCACTCTGTGATATCTAAATTTGTTACATGATTAAAACTAAAGACCATAGTTCCTACTAAAGTACAAAAATAGAAATCCTGCATGTGTCTATAAATAATGCTTATCTGCTTTCATTATTTTGAGTAAGATCATTGAAAGAATGTAGGAAAGCAAACCCAATTCACCCACAAAAGCTATTTTTAAAGTAAGTACTTAGCTGCACAATTGGTTATTCAAACATTGACTTTGTTCCAAAAATAAATGTGATGGACAGTAGAAGCAAATAAAGTTCTATTAAAAATTGGCTATGCTGTAGGCAGCTTAATTTAACCTTTTGAGCTGTTTGGCCAGGCATGCTATATCAGCCTGGCTAACTATGTGCATTTTGTAGACCTCACGCACTGCCAAGCTCCCTCTGTAACCCTATCACCATGTGGGACAATACTAAATTAGCTGGTAAATTATTCCATATGTTAGTTATCATTTGAGTAAAGAAATGTTCGGCATTTGCTGCAGATTTAACAGAACACTTAGCCAGGAGAGGCAGTGGAATGGGATAGAAATAGCAAGAGAAAGTCATTTGGACAAAATATATATGTGAGATGATCAATCACAGATCAAATATAGTGCTGACAAGTGCAAACTTCTGTTTGCAAAACAAATTATGTTAAAAAGTGGAAAGGGGCTGTCTAATGAGGAGAGATCTATTGGGTTGAGCCTATACTCATTCTATGAGTGGCAACCTTATTGAAATATACAAGATTCTTTGATTTGATTTATTGTAGTCGCATGTACCTAAGGACAGTGAAAAGTTTTGTTTTGCGAGCAGTACAGGCAGATCATAGCAAGCAAGCATTATAGGGCACCTAGACAAAGCAAGGCATTCAAGGTTATGGCTGCACAGGAGGTGCACAAAGCAAGATCAACATTATTTGCTTCAGACCCGTAAGCAGATCTAAGCGAACATTTTGTAATTTTTACAGACTTAGAATTTAAATGTAAAAGCGCTAAACAGTTATAAGAACTGTGAGAATAAGATCTGCTGTAGAGAGCTTGCAAAAAGTAGCCCGGTGTTGGTGCCATCTTGAAACTTGGAGGTTAGGGGACTTGACAGGTTAGATGTGGAAAGGTTGTTTCTCCTTATAGGGCAGTCGAGGACTAGAGGGCATAATCTCGGAACAAAGGGTTGCCCTTTTAAGATAGAAATGAGGAGGAATTTCTTCCCTCCAATGGGTAGTGAATTTGTAGAATTCTTTGCCATAGAAAGCTGTCAAGGCTAGGTAATTAAGTACATTCAAGGCTGAGATAGAGAGATTTTTAATCAAGGCTTAGGAGTTAAAGGCAGGAAAATGGAGTTGAGGATTATCAGATCAGCCACGATTATTGAATGGTGGAATAGACTCAATGGGCTGAATGATCCACTTCTGCTTTTACATCTTATGATCTTAAGAATGCCACAACCCAAACTGACTGAAAATTAAGCATGTACAATCTGTGTATACAGCAAGCAAACAAATGTTAGAATGTTGAACTACACAGCAACTAGCTGATATATCAGAAGAAATAGTGATAAAACTGCTCTTTTCTGGTCAATACGAGCAATGCAAAAACAAAGTAATGGGTATGCCAAAAATATGATCATTGATAAAATCTTTTTTAAAAAAATTGTTATTGGGAAATGATTGTCACTGCAGGCCAGCATTTGTTGTGCCCCCCTAACTTTGCTTTAGAAGGTGGTGAGGAGCTGTATTCCTGAACCACCGCAGCCTATCTAGTGTAGGTACACCACAGTTTCTGCTTGTATTCAAATAGTCTAGTTTTGCTCACCAACACATAACTGAAGTGCAGAAGCTGTGCAGTGGTGAAGTTGATCTCTGCTGCGGGGTGTCTGAGATATGTGAAAAAGGTATTGGTGTGGAAAGAAGCTGGCTGTGGGCTTTGCAAAATTAAGATAAATATTACTTCAAACTGTGGAAGTACGATTAGAAATAAGCTGTACTCCTATGAAATGCTTTGGAATGTTTAATTGCATTAAATATCATCTCTAAAATTAGCTTTTACAATTAATTGTATTTACTTAGAATGTTTAATTACATTAAATATGCTAAGTAAACACAATTAATTATTATAAAAGCCAATTTTAGAGATGATATTATTTCTTCTGCATACAGAATACTTGGGAGCAGACTCGTGGAGAAGAGTGGGTACAGTAAGATAGCAATTAGCTGGTGTAAAAGAGATTTCTTTCTGGAAGATCAACTATATATGAACGAAGTGAAGTAGTGTCGGTCCTTAAGCCTAATTATTCTGTTGAACTCATTTGTGTTGATGAGCTGTCTGATCAACTCCCCTTACTTCATTCTTCCTCCACTAGGTTAAACTCTCGTCTTTCCTGGTTGACAGACAATCTCCTTTACAGGTGGTTTCCGTGTTGTTCTTCCCACTTCTGGTGTCAACCTGGTAAAATACATTTGCTTTTGCAGAATAACGAACGCTACCCAGATATCAAGCCGAAAAGCCTTTCCTATTGTCAAAGCATTGGTCCATTGCCAACGTCTTCAATATATATCCTTCCACTTGCCTCAATGTGAGCATGCGCAATATGCCACGAGATTGTGACGCACGGCGACATCTGGACGATACCATAATGGACAAGAAGGGGGACATATAGTTCAGACAAAAATTAGACCTATGCGTAAGTTTCAGAATGATTGATTACCTACATATAAATATGATGTTTATTAATTGCATCGTAATATAACGCTTTTTTGTGATTTCAAGTGGGATTATTGTGATTTTACCGATTTGAGATATTAATGAGCCCCCTTCCTCGCTCTCTGGTAGTTGGTGTGATCCACAATGGCGGCGGCTCCGCTGAAGCTGTTGTTGACACCGCTGGGGCCGGGACCTGGGTCTGGGCCTGACAGCGGCTCTCGCAGTCTGCGTGCCGCCAACGGCTGCTCGGTCAAGGTGAGTGCGGGCCTCCCAAACGAAGCATTCGGGTCAGTCTCAGACTGGGCTCGGTCTGTGGCTAATTTTCAGGCCTGGTCTCCCCCGCCCCCTGTCCTCCACATATCTCTTGCGTACTCAAAAACACTGGACAAATCCAAATCCAACCCAGTTAAACATCACTCCCTCAGTCTATTCTAGATCATTAGCAAAGCAATGGAATAGCGTCGTCTGCAGCAATTGTCAGTGGGGACCAGAGGACTCTCCACTCGTAGGAGTCACCCCGAGTACAAAGGAAGGTGGTTGTAGTTGTTAGAGGCCAATCATCTCAGTTCAAGAACATCACTAGGCAGGTTAGGTGCAGGAAAGATATTCCTGATGATGAGAACTCCAGAATCAGGAGTCATTGTTTATGGATAAGAGGTAAACCTTTAAGGACTGAGATGAGGAATTTCTTCACCCCAGAGAGTGGTGAGCCTGTGGAATTCACTACCACAGAAAGTGGTTGAAGCTAAAACGTTTTATTTTCAAGAAGGAGATAAATATGCTCTTGTGGCTAACGGGATCATGGGTTAGGGATTAGAATTTTGAGTTCGATGGTCTTACTGAATGGTGGGGCAGTCTTGAGGGGTTAAATGGTCTACTCCTCCTATTGTTTTATTCCTCAGGGTGGATATTTTCTAAGCAACCTGTTCAGAGATAGGACCACTACCACTGCACCACAAGAGCCGAGTTCCTCAGGGTAAATATTTTCAACCACCCTTTCAGACACACCTCTGGTGGGATTTGAACCCACGCTTTATGGCCTAGAGGTAGAGACAGTACTACTGTGCATCAAGAACCATTCCAGTTCCTTGGGATAATGTGATAAATTGACTCATCTTCAGCTGCTTTATCAATGACCTTCGCTCAATCATGAGGTCAGAGGTGGGAATGTTCTCTGATTATTGCCTGTGTTGGCTTGGCTTGATAAATAGTATATAATGTTTGGTGTGAGACAAGTGCAAGGTAAGGACCATTTCCAACAAAAAAAGAATTTAACCATTGCCTCTTGATATGTAATGCCATTGCTGACATCAGAGGCTTGGCATTTTGCAGTGAGTAATTTGCCTGTTGTCTCCTCAATTTTTCCAAGTAACAAGTAAATGACATAATCTGTTTGCGCACCAGCTGTTCGCGACATATATAAATGACTTGGCTGAGAGAACCAAATGCAACATTTCCGAGTTTACTGATGACACAAACTGGGCAAGATTGAGGGTTGCAAGGAGAATGCAAAGGGCCTTCAAGGTGATTTAGATGAGTTGTACCTATTTGCCAACTCATTCAAGAGGTATGGGGAGAAGGTGGGAGTATGGCATTGAGACCGGATACAGGCAATAGTTTCAGATAACCTTATGTTTACATGCGGTATAATGTAGAGGCTGGTTAGTTACATAGTGGGATAGGTAGAATAATAGTAAATCACTAATGACTATTTCAGCAGCAGATGAGCTGAGATAAGGGCAGATTGAGCATTGTCACTGGGGAGGAAACCGGTGGTAAGGATGCATTCAAAAATCATCTCTGGGTAAAATAGGTTGTGAAGCATCTGCTTTAATCTTGGACGAGTAAAAAAGATGGAGTTGGTGGCTAGGCAATGGAGTTTGTGTAGGGACTAAAGATGATGGCTGCACTCTTCCCAATATTTCAACTGCTGCTCATCTGACATGTTGAACATACCCACAGATGGGACCAAGAGAGATGGAGCAGGTAGTATCAGCATAAACATGAAGTTTCCATTTGATGTTGTCAAGGAAGAGTTTGTAGATGTGAAACAGATGAGGGCAAAGATGGAGCTTTGGGGATCCCAAATAATGGAATGGAATAGAAGTCATTGTAGTTGATTCTCTGGCTTTGCGTGGATATGCAAGAATGGAACCATGCTGGTATTGCTCCATCAAAGTGAAAGAGGATGATGATGTCAACTGTACCAAAGGGTGTGAAAGGCCAAGATGGATAAAGAGGAAAGTTTATCTTTGTTGTAGTTGCACAGGCATTTTGGTCATCCAGTGACATCACCACTATGTCAATGTTTTGCCTTGTACACGTGATAATGCAGTATCTCACGTGATAAAGTTGGAATTTGACATGCCAAATTTATAAATTTATGTTCTGTTTTCCAAGCGCTGACATTCCAATAAGTAATCTCCCGAAAAATGCTTTCCTTCTATGGTATCTTAAAAAGAAAGACTTAAAAATATTTATTCTTAAACCCAACATTTGATGTTGATGATTTATCCAGTTTTGTGCAGGACAAAACTAAGTTTCAGCTAATGTTATTGATGGAATCACCTATCGTAGACCAGGCATGTATTATCTCATAAATATACAAAAGTCAGGTTTTTTAAAATGTTTTAGACAAGCTGTATTAATGAAAGACCTAATATTTAAATTGAAAAAATTTTCCATTAGTAATTTTCATTCCGAACCTACAACATAATTCAGCAAAATTAAACCCTGTGTGCATTGTATTTTTTTTAAAAAATGCTGTGTAGTTGAGGTTTGCTGGGTTATTTTATATGTTTATAATATATAATTTGCATCATGTCTTCATTGATTTATTTTTAGTGTTTCTATAATAAGTGAAATAGAGAACTTCTTTGGAAATAAAATTATAGAGAAATTGTAACAAAATTGGTGACATAGACAGTAATATTTTGAAGGCAGTTTAAAGATAGCTACATTACTTGGAATGTTAAAAACGGAGTGGCTTTGGGACTATCCAGTATCAGGAGAAGGCTAGTTGAAGTTTGATCTCTGATCTCTGTTGGAGTGAAAGTAGTAGTATTATAATTTTCCCCTGCCTAACCCAGAAGTATTGATGTCAGTCAATTTCTTTTCACTCCGGATCACACTTTCATTTACCAGGTTGAGGTGAAGTGAAAATGTCATTGAGTTTGGTTGTGATGTTGTTATGTTATATAGCACGGAAATGGACCCTTCGGTCCAACCATCCATGCTGAACATAATCCCAAACTAAACTAGTCCCAGCTGCCTGCTCCTGGCCCATATCCCTCCAAACCTTTCATATTCGTGTAGTTATGTAAGTGTCTTTTAAATTTTATAACTGCGCTGACATCCACCACTTCTGCAGGAAACTCATTCCACACATGAATCACCCTCTACGTATAAAAAAATTTGCCCCACGTCTTATGTAAATCTCTCTGTTCTGACCTTAAAATTATGACCCCTAGTTTTGAAATCCTGCATCCTCGGGAAAAGATGCCTGCCATTAACTTTACATATACCTCTCATAACGTCTATAATTTCACCTCAACCGCCTGTGCTCCAGTGGAAAAAATATCCCAGCCTTTCTTTATAACTTAGACCTTCCATACCCAGCATGTTTGGTTGAATAGCCTTTCAACATTCATTGTCAAACTCTTGAATAAATAGCCAACACTTGGGTCAAAGTACTGGAGGACAGCCAATGATGCTGAAATTCACACCCCAGCAAAGAGCTCTTGGGAGAATAGGACTGTTCGTTTGACCTTTTGATTATGTTGACAATAATAAAAAAGCTGCTTTCCTTCGCCAACAGTTCTATGTGAGCTTTCAGTATAGATTATTGAATAAAAATTGAAGGGGAATTCACTGCTGCTGCCCCTAAAACTAGCAATCCAGCATCTGGGAATTATTTTTGGTTGGTTTACTTCTGTGGTTTATCATGTAGTGCATTTACCCTTTGAGTCTTTTCATTTTTAGGTTCTAGAATGCGGAGTTTGTGAAGATGTATTCTCTCTGCAGGGAGACAAAGTACCTCGCTTGCTCCTTTGCGGTCACACCGTCTGCCACGATTGTCTCACCCGGCTTCCACTACAGGGGAGAGCAATACGTTGTCCATTTGACCGACAGGTGACTGAATTAGGTTGGTCCAGAAATTTGTTTCTAATTATTTTTGAATATTTTTAGGTATCATACCACATGCTTCAGTTTAAAATTTTTATGATTTACTTTTTACAGATTGTCAAGTTTGCATCAGTACTGCAAATTTAATTGAACATTACCTAGCTCTGCTATATCAAATTGCCAGATACTCCTAATATGGTGACATTATGCAATGGTTAGTTAGGCTCTAAATAAAACATTGCAGAATAGTAATTGGGCAGGCAAAACTACAGAAGAATGGTGGGACCGACATTGTATGACGGAAAGGAAGGAATGCACTTACTGTCAATTGAGATGTCCTAAGAAGTTGTACTTCTGTCTTGGCAGTAAAACTTGGTCTTTTGTCAGTGGAAGCTATTGACTTTTAATCACACTATGTTATTTGAGGAGGAACAAAAGAATTCTGGCCAATTGTGCTGGCTAATATTTACTGACAACCAGTATCACCACGACAGATAAACTGGTCATTATTACGTTACTGTTTATGGAGTTTGCTGTATGTAAGTTAGCTGCAGCATTTCCTACATTTACAACTGTGATTATACAGTACTTCAAAAGTATTTCATTGACTATAAAATGCTTTAGAGTGTCCTAAGGTTTAGAGGCACAATATAAATGCCTCATTCCTTTAAATGTTACACTAGAAAACTGCAAGTTTACCATACAAGATTGAAGTAAGTTGTATGAGACAAGAAGCTGCTCGCTACTTTGAATGGGTCTTTGTTGGCAGGTTGAAACCATTTTTGTAGTTATGATGAACTCGCCGTTGTTAATGCTTGTACAGGTTTTCTTTGTCTCAGCATTTTCAAGATCATCTTCACCTCAATGGACCTAGTTTCATTTCATTACTTAGACTATAACTGCAGTGTTTCTTCCCAGTCCAAAACACTTTGAATGACTTAAGGGATGTTTTATTCTACACTATTCTCAGAAGATTTGACAAAGGCTGAATATTAATTCATTTGACAGGTGATTCAGGTGTCTGGGGCTTAAAGAAAAATTTTGCTTTGCTGGAGCTCCTCGAACGTTTGCAGAATGGCACTGCCAATCACCATGGAGCATCTGAAGAGGTTCTTGAAATATCAGGAGAGGTATGTATCGCAGAATAAAAGCAAGCTCCTGCAGGTAGTAGAAATCTGAAATAGAAAACAAAAATTGCTGAAAGCACTCAGCAGGTCAGACAGTATAAAGGAGAGAAACGGAACTGACGTTTCAGGTTGAGTGACTTTTCACCAGTTGTACTACTGGTTTTTGGAACCTTTAGGAGTTAGTGCCAATATGATTTTTATTTCGTTTGTATAAGCTTTCAGTTCTCACCTGCTATACTTTGTGGATGGGTGGGAAATTTTGTTCCTTTTTGTTCCCTAGATAAACGTGTAATGTTTTTCCTAAATAGAGCAGAGATTCACAAGAAATGGGAGTATTTGTTTTGTTAAAACAACAGAACATGATATTGATAACACCGTGTGGAGCGGGAGGAACACAGCAGGCCAGGCAGCATCAGAGGAGCAGGAAAATTAACATTTCGGGTTGGGACCCTTCTTCAGAAATGGGGAGGGGGAAGGCAACTGGGAAATAAATAGAGAAAGGAGGGGTGAGGCTGGGGAAAAGTAGGTGGAGTGGTGATAGGTTGAATGCAGGCAGGGAGTGGAGGGGATTGGTCAGTGGGATGGGTGGGGTGGATAGGTGGGAGAGAAGATGGACAGGTTGTGTCAGATCAAGGAGGTGGGGATGAGGAGGATTTTTGGATGTGGGATGAGGCCAGGTGTGGGGAGATTTTAATTCTCTGTTTAGGCCATTGGTCTGTAGGGTCCCGAGGCAGAATGTGAGGTGCTGCTCCTCCAGTTTGCGGGTGGTGTCATTGTAGGACTGGAAGAGGCCAAGGATTCACGTGTCATCCAGGGAATGGGAGCAGGAGTTAAAATGATTGGTGACCGGAAGGTGTTGTCATCTGTCACGTACAGAGCGCAGATGCTCCACGAAACGGTCCACGAGTCTGTGTTTGATCTCACCGATGTAGAGGTGGCCACATCGGGAGCAAAGGATACAGTAGACCAAGTTGGCGGATGTACAGGTGAACCCCTGTCAGATATGAAAGCTTTGCTTTGGGCCTTGGATGGAGGTGAGGGGGGAGGCGTAGGGGCAGGTGTAGCACTTCCTGCAGTTGCAGGGAAAGGTGCAGGGTGTGGTGGGGTTAGTGGAGAGTGTGGAGCGGACGAGGGAGTCGCGGAGTGAGCAGTCCCTATAAAAGGCAGATAGGGAGGGAAATATCTCTTTGGCCATGGGGTCGGATTGTAGGTGACAGAAGTGGCAAAGAATGATACGCTGGGTGCGGAGGTTGATGGGGTAGTATGTGAATACGTGATATTAATAATTTATTCATGATGCACCCATTAAGTATTGTGCAAAGTATTCTAACGTCTGTTGTTGAGTACCAAATGAAAATACTGTGAATGCTGGAAAAGTTCAGCATGTTTGGTAACGTGTGGAAAGAGAAATAAAGTTAGTGTTTCAGTTCAATGATCTTTCATTAGAATTGTTTCTTTCTGTTTATGCTGCCAGGCTATCTGAGCATTTCCAGAATTTTCTGTTTCATTTATATCAATGATGTAGTGAAGATTTTAGAGCTCTTTAGTCTAGACCATGATCAAATTATAGTAATTTTACGTTATCAGCCAGTAATATTAGTGTATAGTACTTGATGCTTAAACTGGTAAGAATTGGACAGAAAACATTTTAATGTTTCTTAACAGTATATAAACTAACAGTCTACTTTTCAATGTGAATATTTCTGAAGCGCATTATCCGCTGTGATGAAGATGAAAACCACATTGCATCCATGTATTGTACCGTCTGTGCAACTCATCTTTGTGCAGACTGCTCCCAGCTAACACACTCCACACGGACCTTGGCCAAACATCGACGAGTACCTCTGGCTGACAAGCCACATGAGAAAACCATGTGCTCTCAACACCAGGTGCATGTGATTGAGTTTGTTTGTTTAGAAGATGGATGTCAATCCAGTCCCCTAATGTGCTGTGTGTGCAAGGAGTATGCAAAGCATCAAGGTCACAAGGTAGCTATCATTTTGGCTAATATGTTAAGTATACAACTTATAAAATTGATTTTTGTATAGTCTGATCAGAGAAATTAAAAGTGAACAGATACGTTAGTATTTTGAATTCGATGTATTTTGTTGCTGGATTTAAAGCATTAGAAATGACCATTTAGGTTAAAAGTGGAAGGCACCAACACATGGGTCCAACTGTTGTTTATATTCAACTTTAATATCCTATCTTCAGAAAGATTAAACTTCACATAGAAAGTTACAATTTCAGAGAGACTACCTTTCAAAGAAAGAGATTATTTGAAAACCTGTTTCCTTTCTCCCTATAAACAGTTGACTGTGGTATTTGGTATTGGCAAAGAGGAGGGCTGATAGGTCCTTAGCTGATAATCATTCCTGTATTAAACTCCTTTCACTTTTTCCTTTTCTTTTCACTAGTTCAACTAACATTATAAATTCTACTTTACACTAATGTGTTTACCCTTACCTATCTTTTGTTTTTCACTTTCAGTAAAATTCTAAATGTGGGGAAGCAGAACTGTGGATTGTTATGTGGAATTAGGTGAATAGGACAAAGTGGACTCCTCCAAGGTTGTAAAAATGGATGATTTGCATTAATACTTTCCTCCTTTTCTTTGCATCTGAACAACTTGATGTTTAATTGGTTCGTATAAACTCAATGAACATACAGCTTCTGTTAAACAACTTCATACCTCCCACTGCCCAGTTGTCCAATTTCAATCCTTTGCTACTCTTTAAATTCATGAACCAGACTCTTTCAATTTCAGCTAACATATTTTCCTGACACTCGCACGCATAGACATAACAAACTGATGCAGGGTAAAAACAGCCAAGGAGTTAAACTTGTGATTTAAATATTGTTGTGGGAAGAATGGGTTTCGCTTCATGCAACATTGACAAAAGAACTGGGGTAGATGGCAGCTGTACCGGTTACACACACTTCACTTAAACTGTGCTGGGAACAGTGTCCTGATGAATTGAATAACTAGGACTGCAGAGAGGGCTCTAAACTATTTAGAGGGGTTCAATAGGGTGATACATAAGCTTTCAAAGTAAAAAGATAAAGGAGTATTGCATGGTAACTGTTTTATTAACAAAACAGAGTGGGACAGGAAGGGATGGAGTTTACAAACTTTTTTTAAGTAGCAAATAGAGTGAAGGGGAAAGAAAGTGGTAAAAATGCAAAATTATTGGATCCTTATTTGAATGTATATAGTATTTGGAACAAAATAATAAATTAAGTGCACAAATATAAGTTCATGGATATGATCTTATAAACATTATGGAAATATGATTATAAGGAGATCAAACTGACAACTAAATATTCAGGTATAAAAACAGAAATTGCTGGAAAACACATCAGATCTGGCAGCATCTGTGAAGAGGAAGCAGAGTTAACAGTTCGGGTTCGGTGACCCTCCTTCATAACACATATTCAGGTGACATTTTGAAAAGACAGACAGGAAGAGAAGGGCGGTTATTACAGGGCGGAATAAGTATGAAAGCAGGTAATGATTCTGGATTAGATCATATAGAATCCATGTGGGTGAAGGTAAGAAATAACAAGGGAAGAAGACATTTTTGGGAGTAGTGTGTAGGCACCCTATAACAGTAACTGTTTCTCTGTCCTACAGAACAATCGGGATATAATGAGGGCATGTATATAGGCAGCACATTAACCATGGTGACTTTACTGTTCATGTAGATTAGAAAAATCAAATTTGCAAAAGTACCCACAAGGAACAATTCATAGATTGCATTTGACACCTTCTTTTGGAACAATATGTTATCAATCCAACCAGGGGTGGACAGAGATAACAAGGTGTAGAGCTGGATGAACACAGCAGACCAAGCAGCATCAGAGGAGCAGGAAAGCTGACATTTCGGGTCTAGACCCTTCTTCAGAAATGGGGGAGGGGAAGGGGATTCTGAAATAAATAGGGAGCGAGGGGAAGGTGGATAGAAGATGGATAAAGGAGAAGATAGGTGGAGAGGAGACAGACAAGTCAAAGAGGCGGGGGTGGAGCCAGTAAAGGTGAATGTAAGTAGGGAGTTAGAGGGGGATAGGTCAGTCCAGGGAGGACGGACAGGTCAAGGAGGCGGGATGAGGCTGGTAGGCAGGAGATGGCGGTGGGGCTTGAGGCGGGAGGAGGGGATAGGTGAGAGGAAGGACAGGTTAGGGAGGCGGGGACAAGCTGGGCTGGTTTTGGGATGCGGTCGGGGGAGGGGAGATTTTGAAGCTGGTGAAGTCCACATGGATACCATTGGGCTGCAGGGTTCCCAAGCGAAATATGAGGTGCTGTTCCTGCAACCTTCGGGTGGCACCATTGTGGCACTGCAAGAGGCCCAGGATGGATGTGTCATCTAAGGAGTGGGAGGGGGAGTTGAAATGGTTCTCGACTGGGAGGTGCAGTTGTTTGTTGCGAACCGAGCCTAGGTGTTCCACAAAGCATAGGATGTTTTATTGAATACTCCACCAAGGTATAGATTTGAACAATACATGATGCATTGGTAGAATAGCTTTATTTCAGCTGTCTGAGTTCCCTGGAAACTGGTGAATCATATACATCTGTTTACAATTGGTTCTATATGTTATGGCAGAAAAAATAGTTTCTTATTCGACTAAAAAATTATAGTTGATTGAAAGGGACTTCATGAACCGCTTAAGAATTGGGATTGAAAAGGAGAAAGCTTTTAAAATATAGTTCTTCTTCAAAAGTTGTGTTCAGTCACAGAATTGTTCTGATGCAGAAGGAACCCATTTGGCCCATCGTGTCTGTGCTGCCTCTCGGCATTTTGGCTAGGTGTCAATCTCCTGCCTTTTCCCTGTAATCCTGCATATTGTTTATATTTAAATAATCATTCAATGGGCTGTTGAATGCCTCAATTCAACCTGCCCTCAGGCAGACGTTGCAGTACTCGCATTGTGAAAAAGTTTATTCTCACCTTGCCTCTGCTTCTTTTGCAAAACGCTTTAACTGGCATGCCAATAAACTGTATCAATGTTAATGTAATATACATGTTAAATATTACTGTTTTTTATCATTACAGAATATACTCTTGGAAACTGAAGCAAATCAAATTCGTGCATCTATTTTAGATATGGCACACTGTATCCGTACTTTTACAGAGGAAATCTCAGACTATTCTAGAAAACTTGGTGGGATTATTCAGAAGATTGAAGGAGGAGAGCAAATAATAGAAAGTAGAATTGGAATGGCTCACTCAGATCATGTAAGACTAACACATTTTCCTTTGGAAATTTTTGTCGCCTTGATCTCGAAGGATTGTTCAATATAATGTTGATTTGCTTTGATCAGGCTCGCCATTTTTAAAGAAAATTTCCCAATTTGCTTTACTGAAGCACTATTGGTCATTACTCAGTCTGGTTAACTATTTTTTTTTTTTGGAACTTGGCGTGTATTCTCCAGAGATTGTGTTAAAGTTCAAGATTTTTGTTTTACAGGCCATGATGAAATTCTTGGTGTAATGTTGTCATTGATCCTGGATAATGTCCATGTCTGACTTGTATGATATTGCTGGATCGTTCCTGAAGTTTAGATCCAGAATAGCTGTAACCATGTTGGCTCACTTAACAAAATAATATGCAAAATGTTTAATGTCTACAATTAAGAAAATGAACACAAGTGGTCCTGCTTTTATATTGGCTTGCTGCTACCCTACGTAATGATAATGCAGTATGAGTTTTTTTTTATTAGTTGCTGGTCACCCAGCATGCTAAGCGACATCCTATACTAAGGAAAGCTCATCTTGCTCAGCTGTGAGACTTGCCATTTGTTTTTGTCACAGTAAAAATATTTTACTTAGTTTTGAAGTTAATAAATGATACCTTTATAATGTTAGAGTCTACAATATGTGAATATGGTTAATAGTAATTCTTATTTGCCTCTGGCAGGTTCCAGGCAGTGCTGAGAATGCACGTTCCTGTGTTCGTGCATATTTCGCAGAATTGCATGAAACTCTCTTTAGGCAGGAGGAAATGGCACTGAGTGTAGTTGATGCTCATGTGCGGGAGAAATTGATATGGCTGAGACAACAGCAAGAGGACATGACAATTCTACTGTCTCAGGTTTCAACAGCTTGTCTCCACTGTGAGAAAACATTGCAACAGGTAGGTGCTAAGACCATGAAACAATATTTTGCCCTTGTCTTTAATATGCAATTAAAACTTTCATGACAAGATTGACAAAACCTATAATTTCTGCCCATGGCTTGAAGATTGCAGGTTAGCAGTTCTCTTGTAGGAAGAATCGTACCTTTTTATTAAAAGATACAACTTGTGATTGGCTCTCAAGCATCCTTTGAAAGGGAATAGAGGATGCATCGTACGTCATACCCCATGACATAGTTGCTCTTCTTTGAATTTCTCAACTTTCAGAAGAAGTATTGGCAATAAAAATAATGTGACTGTTGCAAAGTTGGGTAGAATACTTGTCGATTGGGAGGCAGAATGTTAGAATTTGGTGTTTGTCAAATGCTTGGGGTGGGGGAGCATTGCGTGTTCCCTTTAAAAGATTATGTGCTTTTTCTACGTTTAGAGATTTATAATTCATGCCTGTGAGCATCAGATCATGTTAACAACTATACCAAGAGCACCTGAATTGAAACATTTGTATCGAAAGGCCATACAGTTAGCAGGCCAAGCAGCAGTTTTTACCATGACAAGTTTTGAATTTCACCAATCGATTTGAACCAGGCATTTAGATACCAAAAAAAACCAATTAACTTTAAATCTGATGGTTTTGACAACATAGGACCAATCCTATTGTATGAAATAGAGATATGTCATCAAGGGTATAAAAGAAGGGGGCAGTTGGACAAAACCCCAGGGAACTAACTGCCATCCGCTCTCAAGGGGACAATTGCTAGCTCTCACAGATTCCTCTATGTCTTAGAGAAAGCACCATCTGAATAACAATGGGACCAATGGCACAACTGGTTAATAGTCCTGACAGAAGAATTGACAGAGAAGGCACAGAGCATTCTGGAAGACACGTAACCTGGCTGTAATTTCGAGAGACTAAATTCTATTCTTATATAAGATGGATTTCTACTTATTGGAACAGCATACCATTAGATTTTTACTTTATTTTGTCTCTAACCATTAAATCACTCATGTCTGCTGTCAGACTTTAGAACAGGTTGAACACTCAATCATAGAATTATAAAATCATACAGTTCAGAAGAGGTCTTTTGGCTCATCAAGTCAGCACCAACAAACTTTACTCTAAATCTACACCAGTTTCGTTTTCAAGCACTTGGCCCTTAGCCTTGAATGTTAATGACATTTTAAGTGCTCATCTAGTATTTCTAGGTTTCCCATCTCAATTACCTGCCCAGGAGGTGCATTCTAGATTCATCCTGGGTTTAAAAAAAATCTCTCATGTTATTGATCCTTCACTTATGGGGAACAGCTACTTCCTTTCCTGGTCTTGCCCCTTATAATCTTGTATATCTCAACCTAGTCTCCTTGTCTACGCTAAAGAAAATAACCTGAGCTTATCCAGCCTCTCTTTATAGTGAAACTGCTCCATTCTTGGTAATATTCTGGTGAATCTCCACTGTACCCCCCTCGAGTGCAGTCACATCCTCCTAAAGTGCAGTGATCAGAACTGCGCACATGGCTCCACCTGTGGCCTAACCGTACCAATTAGAACAAAATTGTCCTCTACTTCATGGTCTGCTTCAGCATACAGTAAGATTATTTTTACCTTACATTTTGGATCTTTGTTTATAAACTTAAAATTGTGTAAACCACCTAATTGTAGCACCTTCCACACAGCATTTGTAGCCAGGGGTATGGATGGAAGACTTGTAGATTTCATCTTCCTTCATGGGATGTGGGTGTCACTAGATGGGCCAGAGCTTATTGCCCATCTTTAGGTGCCCTTGAGAAGGTGGTGGTCAGCTGCTGCCTTGAACTGCTGCAGTCCATTTGGTGTAGCTTCTGTGGTTTTGACCAAGTGACATTGAAGGAACAGCAATAATATTTCCAAGTCAGGGTGGTGAGTGGCTTGGAGGGGAGCCTGCAGATGGTGGTGTTCCAATTTATCTGCTGCCCTTGCCCTTCTGTTGGTGGTTGTGAGTTTGGAAAGTTCTGTCTAAGGTGCCTTAGTGAAATTCTGCAGTTTATCTTGTACATGGTACACAGTACTGGTACCAACTCAGCAGTGAAGGGAGTGGTTGTTTGTGAATATGGTGCAAATCGAGCAGGCTGCTTTGTCCTGGATGTTGTCAAGCTTTTGGAGTGATGTTGGAGTTGCATTTGGAGACAAATGGGGAATATTCCATTTTCTCCTGAGTGGTGCCTTATCGATAATAGATGGGCTTTGGGGAGACAGGAGGTGAATTACTTGCTTCAGACTTCCCAGCATCTGACCTGCTGTTGTAGTCATAGTAATTATATGGTTAGTCCAGTTCAGTTGTTGGTCAATACTAACACCTAGTTGTTCTTGTTCTCAACTCTATAATATTCATTTCCTGGGCAGACCTCAAATGGTTTAAGTTTATCAAAATAAAGTTCGATCCTTTGCCTTATCAGGAGGTTTGAGAGTCAAAAAGTTGGGGATTTGAAACCACTAATAAACTTGGATATTATTCTGTGCTGTCAGTTCACTGCAGTAGTGATGAAATGTTGCACGGCCAGAACTACCATCCTTTGAATGAGACATTGAATTGAGGTTGATGTGGTAGATGTAAAAAGATCCCATGACTGTATCAACCATTGGTTGTGTCAGCCAGCAGCACCAACATATTTTTTCCTGGTCATTCTCTTGCTATTTGTGGAATCAAGCTGTACAAAATGCTCCCATAATGACTGTGTATTTCAAATGGAAACCATTGGTTTGAAGTTGCCTTTTGGAAGCTTTGATCCTGTTATATACTGTTATAAAAATGAAAGTTCACTCCAAATTGATGTGCAAAAAAGTTAGTTGCGTCATTGATTTAAAAACAAAATGTTGTAAAATTATATGGTTTTTTTTTTGGGAAAAAGAAAGTAAAAATGTTTTGATATTTTGGGCTATTTTTGTATTCTTAGTATTGTTGATTTTCTCATTGGTTAAATCTAAATCAAATACTCCGAATACAGCAAACTGTGTTGCACCATGATGCTTCATTTTATTTTTAAAAGTATAATGAAATGCTGTACTTGCCCTGGCAAGTGAGTCCGTGTGTTTGGCACTTCCCCTGCTAGGATGACTGCCGTGTAGTGATGGCAAAACAAGAAATCACTCATTTGCTGGAAACATTACAGAAACAGCAACAACAGTTCACGGAACTCGCTGATCACATTCAATTGGATGCTAGTATCCCTGTCACTTTCACAAAGGTAAAGCATCTTTTCTGGATTGTTCAATTGTTCATTTGCAGTTTAATTTGCCTAATCTTTTTTCATCTATTGTAGAATCATAGAGCTGTACAGCATGGAAACAGACCCTTCGGCCCAATTTGTCCATTGTGACCAGATATCCTAAATTAATCCAGTCCTATTTGCCAACATTTGGCCCATATCCCTCTAAACGCTTCCTATTCATATACCTATCCAAATAACTTCAAAATGTTGTAGTTGTACCAGTCTCCACCACTTCCTTTTGGCAGTTCCTTCCATACGCTAAGAAAAATAGAAGATTGGAGGAGGCCATTCGGCCCTTCAAGCCTGCTCTGCCATTCATCATAATCAAGGCTGATTCTCCCACCCAATAGCCTGTCCCTCCTGTAAGCTTTGATCCCATTCGCCCCAAGTGCTATATCTAGCTGCCTCTTGAGTACATTCAGTGTTTTGACGTCAACTACTTCCTGTGGTAATGAATTCCACAGGCTAACCGCTCTTTGGGTGAAGAAATTTCTCCTCATCTCCATCCTAAATCGTCTACCCCGAATCCTCAGACTGTGACCCCTGGTTCTAGACACGCCACCATCAGGAGCATCCACCCTGTCCAGTCCTGTAGAATTTTATGAGTCTCTGAGATTCCCCCCTCATTCGTCTGAATTCCAGCGAAAACAGTCCTAACCTAGTCAATCTCTCTTCAAACATCAGCCCTGCCATCCCCGGAATTAGTCTGGTAAACCTTCGCTGCACTCCTCTTCTCTTCGCCCCCCCCCACCCCCGCGAGCAAGAGCATCCTTCCTCAGAAAAGGAGACCAAAACTGCACGCACAATTCTAGGTGTGGTCTCACCAAGGCCCTTTATAACTGCAGTAACACATCCCTGTTCCTGTACTCGAAACCTCTTGCAATGAAGGCCAACATACCATTTGCCTTCTTTACCGCCTGCTGCACCTGCATATTTACCTTCAGCGACTAGTGCACAAGGACACTCCGGGGAGGCAATGGCCTAACGGTATTATCGCTGGACTGTTAATCCAGAGACCAGATGGTGTTCTGGGGACCAGGGTTCGAATCCCACCGCAGCAGATGGTGAAATTTGATTTCAATAGATATCTGGAATTAAAAGCCTAATGATGACTGTGAATCCATTGCCGATTGTTGGGAAAAACCCACTGGCCCACTAATGTCCTTTAGGGAGGAAACTGCCATCCTTACCTGGTCTGGTCTATGTGTGACTCCAGACCCACAACAATGTGGTTGACTCTGAGCTGCCCTGTGATGCCCTCATCCCGTGAATGAATTTTTTAAAAAAAAAGGTCCTGCTGCACACCCCCCTCACCCAATTTACAGCCATTCAGGTAGTAATCTGCCTTCTTGTTTTTGCTTCCAAAGTGAATAACCTTACATTTATCCAAATTATACTGCATCTGCCATTTAATTTGCCCACTCACCCAACCTGTCAAGATCATGCTGAAGGATCTCTGCATCCTCTTCACAATTCACTCTCTCACCCAAATTGGTATCATCGGCAAACTTTGAGATGTTACATTTTGTTCACTCATCCAGATCATTAATATACATTGTGAATAGCTGGGGTCCCAGCACCGATCCCTGTAGCACCCCACTAGTTACTGCCTGCTAATTTGAAAAGGACCCATTAATTCCGACTCTTTGTTTCCTCTCTGCTAACCAGTTCTCTATCCATCTCAATACACTTGCCCCAATCCCATGCACTTTAATCTTGCACGATAATCTCTTGTGCGGGACTTGTCAAATGCTTTCTGAAAGTCCAAATATACCACATCAACTGGCTCCTCCTTGTTAACTCTACTAGTTACATCTTGTAGAATTCCAACAGATTTGTCAAGCATGATTTCCCCTTCATAAATCCATGCTGACTGTCTGGTCCTGCCACTGCTTTCTAAATGCTCCGCTTTAAAGTCCTTGATAATGGATTTGAGAATTTTCCTGATGTTATGCTTACTGGTCTATAATTCCCTGTTTTCTCTCTCCCTTTTTGAATATTGGAGTGACATTATCTACCCACCACGTGGAAAAAGTTGCCCCTTAGATCCCTTTTAAATCTTTCCCCTCTGACCTTAAACCTATGCCCTCTAGTTTTGGACCCCCCCCCACCAATCCCAGGGAAAAGATCTTGTCCATTTACACTATTCATGCCACTCTATAAAGTTGACCCCCAGCCTCCACTGCTCCAGGAAAATAGCCCCAGACTATTAAGCCTCTCCCTATAGCTCAAGCCCTCCAACCCTGGCAACATCCTTTAAAATCTTTTCTGAACCCTTTCAAGTTTCACGACATCCTTCCTATAACAGGGAGACCAGAACTGAATGCAGTATTCCACAAGTGGCCTAACCAATATCCTGTACAGCCACAACATAACTTCCCAACTCGTATACTCAAATGCACTGACCAATAAAGGCAAACATACCAAATGCCGCCTTCACTATCCTGTCTACCTTGGACTCTACTTTCAAGGAACTATGAACCTGCACTCCAAGGTCTTTTTGTTCAGCAACACTGTCCAGGACTTTACCATTAAGTGTATAATTGTTTTGACTGAAATATAAAAATTGATCTGTTTTTTTGGCACACTGCTGCATAGGCAACTCCCCCTTGAGAATCAATAGAAGAAAGTATAATGAAGTTGTTTCATTTTTCTTATCCCAATTAACTATCTATCAAACAAACAGTATGAATGTTGAATATGCACTGAATGTTCTAAAACATAATAGAAAAGGATCTGATTCTATGTAGCTTTAGGAAGCTCAAACTGGACCAAATTATGCCACTGTCCTCCATCTCCCTCAAAATTATGCAGCTGCATTGGACAGTTAGGCCACAGAAAAGAAGCAGTTCCTTTAATGTGCATTATGTGACAATCTTAAAGGGGCTACGCAGTGCGAAAGAACAGAACATGCGGATGGGAACTTGGAGGTAATGGGCAGAGTTGAACAAAGAAACAAGACACATCAAGATTGACTAAAGCATTAAAATGTTTGACTGGGGCTTTTGCTTCAAACATAGACAAAGAATCAATTTATTGAAGTATCACATAACACGGAAGTAGTAATTAAGAAGTGAGGGAACCAAAATAGAACAAAACTAATTTACACCAGGAGTTTTCATTTTTAAAATCTTTTCAGAAGATACTGCCTTGCCCTGTAATTAAAAGGCTTTTGATCAAAAGCTAGCTTTCAGTACATTTTTGAAATGTGGTCATAACCAAATTACAGAAGTTAGTGACTTGTGAACACAGAAGATGAGGCACTAAGTCTCCTTTTGCTCTGGCCAATGTTCTTCCCTTGCTCAGAACTGCCACAAAAGTATTGTGATTACTCATCATTGTTAATGTGACATCTTGCCATGTGCAAGTTTACTACATTTATCTACACAATGGGCGATTAGAATTCACATGTTGGATACAGGAACATACACTTTATCAATCGTAATTCAGAATTGAGGGGCAGAATCCTGCCAAGGTAGTTTGTGAATTTGAATTGAATTAATTAAATACATATGAAATGTGCTAACTTCACTGATGACGACCATGCAATTTTCAGATTGGCATAATGTTTTTGATTCACTATTCCCCTGTAGGGAAGGAATACTGTCATCCTTATGCCCCTCTGGCCTGTATTCAGTTCCAAACCAGCAGCAATGTAATTGATTCTTCATAGTCCTCTGAAATGCCGAGCCAGGCCTCCAGTTTTCAGAATGTGTGTTGACAATGCCAAAATGGCCAGCAGAAATGTCCACCAACACAGATGGAGGCAGTGATATCACACCACTGAGACAGAGTCTTCTGGCTGCTGGGCCATTCTGCCCTCTCCTTTCTACCCCTGCAGCATAGTCAAATCACTGCTGTCTGCATCTCTCACTGCAGTGGTCACCACTTCAGGCTTTTTGTGAGTATGTCAGTTGCTGTGCCACCTAGTGGTACATTAAAAACATTAAAAATATATTAAAACCAAATAGACCACCTGGATTTAGATTTGAACATGCCTAGTTGGGCTGACCCTGCAAAAACTCTTTGCTAATATCTGGGACTTGATAAAACTCAGAAAGCTGCCCCACAGATTAGTCCAGCCGCAGCCTTATACAATTACATCTACAGCCAGAAACCTGTATGTGCCACCAATAGGACAGACCCAGCAAAGTTGGGGGCACAGTTGTATACAGTAATTCCAGAGCCAGTGTAGTTTTATTACAGCAGATAAAACAATGGCATTTGTTAAATCTCAGCAGGAGTATTGTATACAGCTGTGGGCACCGCATTGTAGGAAAGATGCGAATGCTTTTGAGAGAGTTCAGATGAGATGTACTAGAATAGTTTCAGGAATAGGCAACTTCATTCGTGAGGCTAGATTGAAGAAATGGGGACTGTTCTCCATGGACAGAAGGCAGCTGAGAGGAGTTCAGTTATTGAGTTCAATAATTTCAGAACCTAAACTCCTTCCTTTATGTCCTTTACCCACTCCCCCTCACAGGCCTTATCATGACATGGGCTGCTTTCAGCACAGCCACCCCATTTTTGTCTATTTATAGACCCTGTTATCAGCTTTTCTTTCTCCCTTGCATACTAGTGTCCATCTCCTTGCCTGCCCAGACTTTGGTTTTGTCTCTTTGGGCTTCATCTCTCTGCCTGTCCACACACTGTCTTACCCTCTCTAGCCCCTGTCTTCAGCATATATACCACCTTTTCCTAGCTACTATCTGTTCTGAAGAAAAGTTACATTAACTCAGCTTTTTCTTGACAGATACTGTGTAACCTGCTGAGCTTTTCCAGTTATTTCTGTTTCTGTTGCAGCTGAGAGGAGACCTGGTAGAGGTTTTCAAAATGATGAGTAAGCTGAACAGAATAAATAGGGTGAAGCTGTTTCCACTTGTAAAAGAAACGAGAACAAGAGGGCTTAGATTTAAAGTGATGTACAAACAAAGCAAAGATCCTGTGAGAAAAATACTTTTATACACAATAAGATTATGGAGTATGCATGTTTAATGGAGGCATGTTCAATTGTGGCATCCAAGAGGGCATTGGATGGTTATTCAGATGGTAGTGGTGTTCAGGGATGTGGGGAAAAGCAGGAGATTGGCACTAGAGAATAGACACAGTACAAGCATGATGGGCCAAATGGCTTCCTCCTGCACCATAATAATTCTGTGATCCCACCTACTACCCTCCTTCAAGCTGTGAATGAAGAATTGATTCTTTGATAGCAGGTGCACAGAACATACTCTGGGTGGTAATTTGATTATCCATCATCAACCTGACCACTTCTGGTCAAGCTGGCCAGGTGCTGAAGTGGGAACTGTCAGACTAGACAAGTAAGGCAGCTGATAAGGAATCTAACACAAGACAAAAACCTACATGACCGTGACCTCGACCTCACCAAGGTACCTGTCAAACTACGCTAGAAAGTTTGGTTAAGATATCCTGAATGACCCACCCAGCTTCTATCTAGATGCTAGAGATGACAAAGATACACCCTGGCCAGGAGGACTCATGTGGTGTAGTGGTAGTGTCCTTACCACTAGGGCAGGAGGCCAGGGTGTACGTTCACATGCTCCAGTGGTGTGTCAGAATGTATCTGAGCATGTTCATTAAAAATATTTACACCATGGTCAATTAATCCTGCAAATTTTTCCTCCTAACACCTGAGGCTTTTTATCAAAATTGGAAAAGCTAGACCAGCTATTTGGCTCCAAATCTCATGTCAGCTTGACCTAAGCATGTGAGAGTAATTGCAGCACTTGACTGAACTGTTGCATCAGGAAGTTCTAGGAAAGTTCAAGTCAGTGGGAATGGAGTGAAGGTGTCTCAAAATCATTTCTGTTCTGAACACAATGGCTTGCATGCATTGGCACCCTTGCACAAGTAATGTACCAAATACCAGCACTTCACAATGTTGCTAGAGCAATTGCTACCCACGAAGAGTTCAGCAGGAAGCACTGATGCTGGTATAAATGATGTTTGTAAGTCACTAAGCTTCATATCTCAAAAGTGTCATTTAGTAAAGACGGAATCTTCACCGAGGACCGATGTATTCGGCTGAGGTGACCACTGGAATTGATTTTTTTTTTAAAGATCAAAACCTATGTATACACAACATAAACCCAATAGCTAGAGCACTGTACAACCTAAAAGTAGGCAGGAGAGTTGTGCAAAAGAGGGAAATACTGCAAAATTAAATATTCATTCAACTGGTGTTGGGAAATCCAAGTTGCTTTGAACAATGGAAATTGCAACCGAACAATATAAAGAACAGGAGCACACATGAACAAAATGAAGAGATCAGGAGGATACCTGGTCCTGTAATCACAAAAGTTGCCCCTCTGAAGTTTGGAGATAGTGAAGTTGTCACCAGTTGAAGTAAACAAATATCCCACTGGGCTGAACACTACTGTGAGCCGCACTACCATGAGATGGAGAAACCCCCTCCCCACTCAGTTCGTATTTGGTGTTCTCATGCAGTTCCCTGTCAAGAATGAGTTAGACAAAGAACCCTCGTCATTTGATCTTGAGAATTTCAGACTACTTGGCAAAAAGAAAAATACCCAGTGAGGAAAGAATTCAAATCCAACTCCTTAAGCATGGAACGTCCCACCTATTGCCACATATTCATGAGCGCAGCTCTAACAACACTCAAGCTCGGTACTATTAAGACAAAGTAGCCCACGTGGCATCCCATCCACCACATTAAACATTCAATCCCTCTTCCACTAGTTTACCATGGCCCAAGTTGTATCAATTGCAAAATCTTTATAGCCATTACTATTTAAGCAGTAGCTTCCAAACCCATTTCTACCATCTAGAAAAATGAGGGCAACGGATCACAACCACAAGTTCCTTTCCAAGTTGTACACCATCCTGTTGGAGTTCTATTGCTGTTGCTTCTGTGTTGTAGGGTCAAAATAGAGGCATTCCCTCCCCAACAGCACTTTGGACTTCACCTGACGAAGGAACAGTGCTTTGAAAGCTTGTGATTTCAAACAGACCTGTTAGACTGTAACCTGGTGTTATGTGATTTCTGACTTTGTCCAGATTAAACTGATATAACTTTTAGAAAAATCTTATCAAAAAGGCAAATTGATTTGAAATTGAACTTTTATTATATTTGAGAGAGTAAACCTAAACGCACATTTCATTTTTACCTCAAAAGGATAACCGTGTTCATATTGGGCCCAAGATGGAGATACGTGTAGTCACTTTGGGACTGGACGGAGCAGGCAAAACAACTATTCTTTTCAAATTGAAACAGGATGAGTTTATGCAACCAATTCCTACCATAGGTAATTTGCCTTGACTCAATATGCTGATTGTTGCTTATTAGTAACAGTAAAATTCATATATTCCCATCTTTTAGATTCATTGATTAGTATACTTATTTTCTTACATTTGAACATCAGATTTGCATTATTTATAAAAATAGCGTGCACTGTTGTGTTCTATCATTGAAAATGTTGAGGTTAGAGCTACTGAGTCTCATAATGACAAGACTTTCTCAATACGATGTTGACCACATCTGTCTGGCTCTTTTTTTGTGTCTGCCTTTTTCACCCTTTCATTTACTACTTTCCAATCCAGTGTCTTCTAATTGAAGCATGAGTTTTAATTTATGACTAGTTTTATGATGACCTTATTCATCTGTCAACATTATCTTAGTGAAAATGTAAAATTAACACTCTCCTTTTTCCATGGCAGGTTTTAATGTTGAAACTGTAGAATACAAAAACTTAAAGTTTACTATTTGGGATGTAGGAGGCAAGCATAAACTGAGGCCACTTTGGAAGCATTATTACCTTAACACACAAGGTAAAACAATATCTCTTCTTGTGAACGCTCTGGTTGTTGGCTTGCATGTAGATAATTATGCTCTTGTGGGAAATGGCTCCTTGTTACAGGATATAATGCTCTTCCTAATTTTCTTTCCCTATGATCGCTGCTGTATGTGGATTTTATTCCTTTATTAGATTACTGCATTGGGATTGTATTTTTTAATGGATTTTTTGGTAAAAGTCTTTTACATTTAACAGAGATTTTGACCCAGATTTTGCAATCAATAATGGGAGATATGCTTCCTGTTCATTGTGCTTACAGATGCTCATAGACTTGTGAGCTCTTGGCAGCAACCTGGGAGATTTGGATCCTTTTCAACATGGCACCCTCCACAACAGGGATCTGTGATATGTGTGAAATGAGGGGGGAGCCCATCTCCTCATTCGTTCAGATGTGAGAATCTTCACAGACATACAGAAGTAGGAACTAATGTTTTAAGAAAACAATTGACAAAGGCTTATGCCTTAAATTTATCAGGACAGAATCAGAAAAACACCTAATTTCAAGGGAAATAACAATTTATACGGCATGAGAAACTGCACCAGGTCAAGGTTTATAGGTCAATGAGTTACCATGGAGAAGCAACAAAAGAAGTATAGTCTGCACACTTTTGCTTAATTAAGAAAAAAAGCCTGGACGTGCTTTCTATTTTACTACAGAGAACAAGTCCTTATGTATCAAGATATGTAATTCTGAGCATACTCAAAGAATTACACTAACAACCAAACTAAGGTGATCAGACCTGCTGAGTTTTTCTCGCAATTTCAGTTTTTGTTTCAGACTTCCAACAAGCAATTCTTTTTTGATTTTTGCATTAAAAGGAATTTTATAATCTGTTCCTGAAGTGCTATAAGTTTCATTGTATGGACCAGGTGCTGGAAAGTGAAATTAGAATGGGCAGCTAATTTATTAAGCCAGTGCATATACTGAATGGGCTGAATTACCTCTTTCTGTGCTGTAAGGTTTCTTTAGCTCTATGGTATTCTTGAGGTTCTTCCCTGATGAATGCAGGGTTAAAAGCTTCAACAGTGTCTGTTTTTCAACAGTCTTCAAGTACTGCACCACCAAGTATGAAATTGAATATTTAAGTGTAAAATCATATTCAGAAACTGAAATAAGCAGAAGGAGAAATACGATCCAGAGAGCAGCGAGACAGAAATAAGCTTAGTATTTTTTAAATGTTCAACAATAATTGTTGAAGGAGTGAGACACCACACTTGAAGCATTAAACTTACAGTGCCAGAGAGGTCATTTGGCAGTAATAATGATGTACTTATCATATTTACTTGAGAAAAAGTAGAGTTTGAGTCTAAACTTTAGATAAAATAGAGGCAGCCAATTTATACATGAGTAACTTATCGTGAACTGTTGTCTCACCATTTAACTGTTTATGGCACTACTGATCATAGAATTGACAGCTCAGAAGTGTTTCTGCCAACAACACTCCAAAATCTAGTGCAAAAGTAGTCAAAACATATTTATTATTGAAATTTTATTTAAAATGTACCATAATCTGTCTGGAGACACTAATTATTACACATTAAATTCATTAAAAATTAATTCAACGACGGTTGATATGAGATTAACATCGTTCAGAGGAAGGGTCACCAGACCCGAAACATTAACTCTGATTGTTTTCTTCACAGATGCTGTCAAACCTGCTGAGCTTTTCCAACGACTTCTGTGTTTGTTCCTGTGTTCAACATCGTCAAGTTCTGCTGTGAGATGATATGAAAGCTTGGTTTTCTGTCGCAGTACAGAATTGTTTCTCTTCATAAACTTTGTACAGTATCCAGGGCTGGCTTTGAAATCTGAAATTATTTTATATAATATAGAAACAGAAAGTGCTGGAGAACTCTGTTGGCCTGGCAATATTAGTGGGAGAGAAAAGAAATCAAAGTTAATATTTTTGAGTCAGATGTCACTCCCATTTTCCAGCACCTTCTGTTTTTACTTCAGAGCTCCATCATTCCCATTACTTCAACTTTATTTTGTTATTTTGCGTGACTTGGGGCAAAGATTCTGATAAATTCACAAGAAACTGAACTCTTCCCTGCAATTTTCAATTTTATTTATATATGTTCCTTCACCAACACTGGATCAGAATCTTCCTAACAGCATTGTGGGTGTCCCTACGCACAAAGAACAGTAGTGGTTGAGGAAGGTAGCTCATCACAATCTTCTCCAGAGCAATTAGGATAGGCAATAAAGCCTGGCCTAGGAACACACACATCCCATGAACAAATATTTTAAAATTACTGCTGTTTCTCAGCATGGCCAATATGATATTAAGTGTTTTCTTCATAGGCTGTTCAAGTCTGCATAAATGGGAAGCCTGGTAAAAATGATCTTTTCTTCCATCTCAAGAAGGATGGTGGTGTTGCAATGTATAGCAGATAGAATCTAAGAATTCTTGGAAGGTTACTCCCAGCGTATCCACTATCACTGCACTTACTTCCTTTAATATCCTAGGATGTACCACATCCAGGTGACATATTCATCTTTCAGTTTTCCCAGCAATTTTTCTCTAGTGATAGTTATCATCTTTACTTTCTGTCTTGAATACGTAGTAATTTTGACTGTTATTCATGTCTCCCACTGCGAATACAAATGCAAAGTATTTATTCAAATTCTCTGCTATTTTCTGGTTCATTATTATTATTTCTTCTGTCTTGTTTTCTCAGGTGCCTGTGTTCACTTTGGCTTCGTACTGTTCCTCTTGATATTACAAGTTTACCCTCAAAGTTTATTTTCTCCCTTTTTTTTGGTTGGTTGGATTTTTTTTAAAAAACGTTCTCAATCCACTGGCTTACCACTAATCTTGGCCACATTCTGTATTTTGTTTGTTTCGATCCATCCTTAACCAAGAACAGAAATTGCTGGAGAAACTTGACAGTTCTGGGAGCATCTGTGAAAAGATAGCAGAGTTGATATTTCAAGTCCATTGAAGGGTGACTGTTGAGGTTTCTTTAGCAATTTCTGTATTTGTTTCAGGTCTTCAACATCTGCAGTTCTTTGTTTTAATTTAGTGCTAACTTTAATTCCTGTGGTCAACCATGCTTGGCTTATCCTTTTCCTAGAATTCTTTTTGCTTACTGGAATATGTCTTTGCTGTGTGCCATGAACTATTTAAATGTCTGCTGTTGTTCCTCAAACATCTTTGCTGCTGAACTCCTTTCCCAGTTGCAGCTAGCTCTGCCCTTATTTAAACTTAGTACGGGTTTCCAACCTTAAACTGAATGCTAAATCCTATCATATTACGGTCACTGTTTCCAAGGGAATTTTTACTGTGACACCATTTATTAAACTTGCCTCCTTACACTTCGCCAAATCCAAAATAGCCTGATTCCTGATTGGAACTGAAATAACTCCATAGAGGCTGGTATCCTGTCACTAAGTCACCCTTTATTTACATGTAGAGTGTCCTTGATACTGATCTAGCTTCCTCAGAGCCAGTTCTGAGTGAACAGGATGTCTGACACTCCTGTTTATATCTATCAGCCCGGGCTCCCTGTTTGGAGCAGATAACAGCCCCAGTAGGATACGCGTATTCTATGAGGTCCACCTGGCTGACCTCATTACAATCACTACATGAATAACAACATAGTGTTCTAGGAAACTATCCCAAATAGACTGTATGAAATCTTCCTAATGGCTTCCTCTGTCCATCTGACTATCCTAATTTATGTGAAAATTAAGATTCATCTCCTGCCTACCCTCATTATCTCCTGATTTATTCTCTGTCCCATTGTATAGCTACTGTTAGGGGGCCTAGAGACTACTCCTACAGGTGTCATCTTGCCCTTTATGTGTGTTATCTCCTCCTACACAGAATCTGCATCTTCCAATTTAAGATTTTTTGCTATCATATTTATCCCATCCCCTACCAACAATGGCAGTCCACTGCCTTAGCATTCCTGACTGTCCTTTTGGAAAGTCACATGCCCCTCAATATTTACTTCCCAGTTTTGATCTCCCTGAAATCATGTCTCTAATGGATATAAGATGATACCCTCTAATCTCTATTTGTGCAGTTAATTGAGCTATTTTGTTCGGAATACAACACCCATTCAAGTAAAGACCAGGTTTAACTTATTTATTTATTTTGGCTACTATTGATGAAATGAGGCCACCTGGTGAGAGTCTTGCCCAGAGGTGATACCCAGATATTTGGGGTGCGGGACTATTGTCAGGTTTCTTTCTGCAGCAGGAAATATTGAGTTCCTTCCTGGCAGAGTTATTGCTCAGATGTGAGGCCGACACAACTGTCTTATCTGGATTGGAGTGAAGATGGAAATGATCTTTTGTTAACCAGCAGCAGTTTGTAATATTGGTAGTAATGAAATGCTAGGTTTATAGTTATCTCAACCAATAATTTAAGATGTATAAAAGGAGGAATGCTATAAACCTTGTTTTGTAATGATATGTTTCATTCCTTAGCTCAGTCTGAAAAAACTAAACTGGTTGACAGGAAAGTGGGAAGGAATGCAAGAAAATAGTGTATATAAGGAGTTCATTATACTTAGCTGAACCACAGGACTAATCATTTACTTTAGATCATTCCCTTCCCTTATTGCTTGCATTATATATTAACATATTTTTATAAAGTCTTACCTGTTCATGGTGTCTGTACAAGGCAGGTGCTTGTCTTTGTCGCAGTCAGTATAAATTTACTCCTTGATTAGCTTTCATACAATAGGTTTATTTTCTTTTATTTTTGTGAATTACTCAAGGGTTAATGTATTTTAAAGGTAACATTTCAGAAAGTATTTTTGTGTGTTTTCTTCGGCTGTGAATAATAAAGTTGTAATAAAACCATGAGATGATTTTGGGACGGTTTTGTTGAGTCCATAATTATCTTTACAACTCTGATTTAAAAGCTCATCAATGCTGTTGCTTTCTATATGAAGATTGCCACCTTAGACAAAGTTTAAAATGGAAGCTGGTGAGCGTGGAGCTGTGCTCTATCAAAGGTTTTCTGAACAAAAAGAAAATGAGAATTTACCTTTTGCTGGATTTTATATCTTATGTTTATTGTAATTTCTGTTCTTTGTACTTTATTCCTTCAGCAGTTGTATTTGTGATAGACAGCAGTAACAGGGACCGATTGATGGAAGCACACAGTGAATTGGCCAAGTTATTGGCTGAAAAAGAGTTAAGGGATGCTTTACTCCTTATCTTTGCCAATAAACAGGTATGTGAGTGACAATTATTAACTGAAGTCTCAAGCTTGACCAATTCATTCTAATTGGCTTTAAACAAAATTATTTTTTGAAATGTGAAATCCTTGGGTAAATACTTTGAGAAAGTTGAAGTGAATAAGCAAATCAGTTTCTTGAACAAAAGAGGGTAACAAGTCAAACAAATTGTCTCTCTGGTTGTGATGAAAATTTTAAAGGATTTCCAGAAAGAGGCATAGCAAGCATCTGAAAAGAGGAATTATGAATGTTATGCATGGTATACAACTATGATACAGAAAAGAAAAATTGGTAGTTTGACTGTCATTTTAAGTAAATGTTTTACTATATTTTTAAAATATTTTTTGCAATTTGTTCAACAGGATGTAACTGGAGCACTTACTGTAGAAGAAATAACCGAGTTACTCAGTCTGCACAAGCTGTGCTGTGGTCGCAGCTGGCACATCCAAGGCTGTGATGCCCGGAGTGGATTAGGACTACATGAAGGGTTAGATTGGCTCTCAAGACAGTTGGTGGCTGCGGGTGTGTTAGATGTAGCCTAATACTGCCCTAACAACATGCTTTATTGCCACTTTTACTTGTAAATAGCTGCTTTAACACGTGTCTGTGACATCCATATTGTCTGTATTTGAAGATGTAGCAACCAGACTTGGTTTAATTGAGTGGAGACAGGAAGTTGTAAAGCAGACTTGAAATGTAATTCAGAATTTCACCAAGAAAAGTAAGTTCAATTAAATTGTGTATTTGTTGCACTACTGTTATTGTGAATAGTACAGCTAATCCTGTTGTAGCTCCAAATTAGTTCAATGTGTTGCCACTTTAAGAAAAAAAGTATTAATTAAAATATTTGTTTTAATCTAGTTTTGTTTTTAGTGATGCTGTGTAAGTTTTGAACTTAACCAAGGTATTAATTTAACACTAAACAAGTTTTTTGCAAATGGGACAAAATGTATTCATTTCACTATGCACAGTACCACATTATTCAGAAATAACGATGGGTATGTTTGTGCTTTAACCACATTCATGAAATCTATAAGGCTGTTTTGTGGCTGTCAGTTTGTTCACACAATAAGGTTACTTTAACATTACACAACTTTATAGTTAGAAAGCAAAACGGGTAAGCACTACTTATTCAAAGTACTCTTCAACATATGTGCTGAAAGATCAAATTGTATTCTGCCAGAGTCACTGAAAATCGGACCTCTGTACTCAACTCATCCCCAGAGCAGCTCCATAAAAATGAAATAACCTGATCTATGGGAGCCAGAGCAGTCATGTTGCTGTCAACTGGTTGCAAGTATTCAGCATATCTGGGGGAGTATTTTTGAATAAATAACATCCAAGCTTTTTTTTTACATATACATCACATTTACTATTTAAATACTTTTCTTGCTTGAGCTGTATTAAAGAATATACTAAATCTTTTCAGAACAGAATTGTTTCTGACTCATTTTACTTGTCTGTTGGACATGCTGACAATTCTTCTTACTTTGCCAATAAAGACCAATCAAAAAAAGCTGTGCAGCTAGTAATTGATACAATCGAAATATCTCAAGTTAGTTGGTTTGTAGGTTCTATGCTGCGTCGCTACATATTCAAAGCTGTAGATTGAGGACTGAGAACATTGAGTCTTTATGCAGTTTAAAGTTTTTGAGAAGATTTGTAGCTTGGGTTGTGGATGAGGTTGTAGACATGCTCACCAAGCTGGTAGGTTCGGTTGCAAACATTTCATCGCCCTGCTAGGTAACATCATCAATGCGCCTCTGAAACCGGAACAAAATTGCCTATACGGATACATGAACACCAACTAGCCACCAAGAAACACAACCAATTCTCACTTGTCTCACTATACATGGACACCAAGGGACATAGATTCGACTGGGACAACACATCGATAATCACACAAGCCAAACAGAGACACCAGGGAATTCCTGGAGGCCTGTTATTCCAACTGGAACTCCATCAACAAGCACATTGAATTAGACCCTGTGTACAAACCACTGAGAAACAGAACCGGAAGTAATACCAACCACCCCAGCAAACCGAGGCATATAAATAACAAATGGGACAGAACACCGACACTTCACCGGAGGCACACTGACGATGTTACCTAGCAGCATGATGAAACGTTTGCAACCAAACCCACTGGCTCGACGAGCATGTCTACAAGCTCATCTTTATGCAGTCTCAGAGTGAAGAAAATAGTGACTTCAGATTACCACACCAAGATCCCTGAAGAAAGTGGCTTGTTTGTACAATCATAGATATGTAAGACAAGTTTAAAGAAGCCTGTGCCAAAGAAGTCATATAGACTGAGTGCAAGTGCTTTCAAGGTCAGTGAAACTGTTTGAAGCAAAAGTGGTTCTTGGTTGATGCATAACAAAACTGATGAATCATAATCCATCACACTGCCTGTTCTGACGTCACTAAGTCAATGAACCTAATCTTTAAAAATAGCCACCCACACTCCCATTTTTGATCTAGTGTCTATGGATTCGGTTTGGGTGAGCTGGAAGAGCCCACTTCACATCAATAAGTTTTAAAAATGCATTTGTCCACTTTTTAGGTATAAACATACCTACTTTTTACAATCCCAAAAGATACTTTACCTCTCCAAAGGGGTACCCTGGCTTTCCAAAGGAAATGCACTGAGAACAAACCTCATCTTATTTAGTCTAATCTCCACATTCGAAGGACACCAAAATCCAATTTCAATGGAAATAGTTGCTCATGTAAATGGCCAGCAGCCTCCAGGGAACATACACAAACCACGTCCAATCTTTCTGTGAATTGAGATTCTGGGTTCAAGGGTGGGGCATAGGATTCTCAACTTCTTCCAGCATTTTTTGTTTTGCTAAAAAGATGTAGTCATGGCAAAAATATGTGTCATACTCTTCTTAACCAGTAGCATCAAGCCAAAGAATCTTTGACCATTTGCTACGTTCCCACTGATCTCCAAAGCACAGAGGTTGGAAACACTACTAGAAATTGGCACTTATGTGCTCAAGTTCTCAACAGGTTGCTGTAATCAGTAATCAGGAAAAGTACAAGATTTTGCCTTTAGGGAGAGCAAACAAAGCAAGGCAATGCACAATAAACAGAAGGATGTAGAGGAATTGAGAGACCTTAATGCATATCCACTTGTCCCTGAAGGTGGCAGAACAGGTAGATAATGTGATGAAGCAGGAGTATGGGATGTATTCCTTGAGAGTAGGGAGGTAGGTAAAGGTAGTGGTACAGTATTGTTAATCAAGGATGGCATTTGTGCAATAGAAATTGGCAGGTTTGAAGAGAATTGGTTTGGATAGAAATGATTAATAGGGGAAAGAAGTCACTAGTGGGAGTGACCCACTAGTAGGCCCCCTAACGTTAAACACAAGGAAAAGGTTTTCAAGAAATAGTGGATGCCAGTGAGAGTGGAACCAAAATAACAATGGGTAACTTTACACTTAAACAGAAAAAACTCCGATTAGCAATAGTGGACTAGATAAGGAGTTCAAAGAATGCTTTCATGGTAATTTCTTAGAAAGCATTCTGGAACTGACTAGAAAGCATATTAGTTTTGGTATTGGTGACAGGATTAATTAAAGACCTTGGAGTAAAAGCACCTCTGGATAGCAACAATCACAATATGAATCCATCTTACATCCAGTTTGAAAGGGAGATTTTTAAGCCTGGTATTTTAAACCTAAACAAGCATAAATATGCAAGCATTCGTTTTGAATTAGTTGATGAACTGGCATCCTAGGCTGTGATAGTCACAGTGGCAGACATTTAAGGAGATATTTCAGAAAATGCTGAATAAGTATATCTTCACTATAAATTAATATGCTAAAGGGAAGATCCACCATTCTTGGTTAACTGAAGTAGTAAGGAAACATCAAACTTAATGAAAAAGCATAAAACTGCAAAGATTTGGGGAGGTGATGGAGCCAGATACAGTTATAACATTTAAAAGGCGTCTGGATGGGTACATGAATAGGAAGAGTTTAGACAGATATGAGCCAAATGCTAGAAAATGGAACTAGATCAGTTTAGGATACCTGGTCAGTGCAGACAAGTTGGACCGAAGGGTCTGTTTCTGTACTGTATGACTCTATGAGTTGCAGGTAAGATGATTGGTCAGATTATAAAGAATGGCAGAGAATAACTAATGGATTAATCAGACGGAATAAACTAGAATATGAGAGGAAGATAGCTAGGAATGTGAAAATGGATAAGAGTTTATACTGGTATTTGATAAGGAGTAAAAAATAGTGTTGGTCCTTTGGAGAGCTGCAATAGTGAATTAGTAAGATATAATAATGAAATGGCAGATGAAACACAAATATTTTAGTTTGTCTTGGGTTCCAGAATAACATATGGACATGAAACATTAATTTTGTTTCTCTCTCCACGGATGCTACTTGACATGTTGAGGATCTCCAGCATTTTGTTTTGATTTATAAGAATGGTGCCAGGACTCGAAAATTACAGCTATGAGGGATAGTTGGATAGGGCAGGGTCAATTTGCTGGGAGGCTGAGCAATATCTTATTTGAGATGTACAAAACAATGAGAGGGTTCAACAGGGAGGACAAGGAAGATCTGTTTCCCCTAGCAGAGAGGTCAGTTACCATGGGCATAGATTTACAGACTAAAGAAGACATTAGGAAGAGCCTTTCCACCAAAGTATGGCAGGTGTGTGCACTGGTCGTTGGTTTGGTTTTGAGTTTGGAACAGAAACTCTCAACTTGATTAAATGGAACCAGGATGTACACAAAGTGCTGCAACCTGTAATGATACAGAGCAGGTGATGGAAAATGGGAATAGAGAGGACAGCTAGTTTATTTATCAGTGCAGACACAATGGGATGAATGGCTTCTCTCTGTACCATGATGTTCGTAGGCACTATCATCAGCACAACCAGATTGGTTCTAAATTTCATTAGGATGTTCGAAAAACAGGAATTTCTCCCATCTACCAAATTGGGTAAGAACATAAGACAAAGAAATATAGAAACTAGGAGCAGAAGTAAACCATTCCGCACTATCATGGCTAACTATTCAACTCAATACCTGTTCCCACTTTTCTCCACATCCTTTGATCCCTTTAATACCAAGTGCTATATTCAACTCCTTGAAATCACACAATATTTTAGTCTCAACTGCATTCTGTGGTAGTGAATTCCATAGGCCTACCACTTTCTGGGTGATGAAATTTCTCCTCTTTTTCAGTCCTAAATGTCTACCCCATATCATGAGACTGTGGACCCTGGTTCAGCACTCCCCCATCATTGGGAACATTTTTCCTGCATTAACCTCTGTCTAGTCCTGTTAGAATTAGATAGATTTCTATGAAATTCCACCCTCATTCTTCTGAACTCCAGTGAATTAGGCCTGATTCAACCTCTCCTCATGCATCAGTCGAGATATCACAGGAGCCAGTCTGGTAAGCCTTTGCTTTACTCCTTCCTCAGAAAAGGAAACCAAAACTGCATACAATACTTCAGGTGTGTTCTCATCAAGGCCCTGTATAATTGTAGCAAGACATCCCTTCTCTTGTACTCAAATCCTGTCACTATAAAGACCAACATACTATTTACCTGCCTGTTGTACCTGCCTTAGAATATAGAATAGTACAGCACAGTACAGGCCCTTCGGCCCACGATGTTGTGCCGAACTCTTAGCCTACTCCTAAGGTCTATCTAACCTCCACCCCTATCTTATACTATCATCCATATGCCTATCTAATAGCTGCTTAAATGCCCCTAATGAGGCCGACTCCACTAGCCTCTCCGGCAATGCATTCCACACCCTGACCACTCTCTGAGTAAAGAACCTACCTCTGACGTCTCCCTTATATCTACCTCCACTCACTTTAAAACTATGCCCCCTCGTAATAGCTATCTCCACCCTAGGAAAAAGCCTCTGGCTGTCTACTCTATCTATACCTCTGATCATTTTGTACACCTCTATCAAGTCACCTCTCATCCTTCGTCGTTCTAAAGAGAAAAGCCCTAGCTCTCTCAACCTTTCCTCGTAAGACATTCCCTCCATTCCAGGCAACATCCTGGTAAATCTCCTCTGCACCTTTTCCAATGCTTCCACATCTTTGCTGTAATGAGGCGACCAGAACTGGACACAATACTCCAGATGTGGCTGAACCAGTCTTTTGTATAGCTGGAGCATAACTTCAATCGCTCCATTAATGAATGCTAACACACCATACGCCTTCTTAACAACTATTTCTACCTGGGTGGCAGCTTTCAGGGAACTGTGGACATGAACCCCAAGATCCCTCTGCTCCTCCACATTGCCAAGAATCTTTCTGTTAACCCTGTATTCTGCTTTCAAGTTTTTACTTCCAAAATGAATCATCTCACACTTTTCAGGGTTAAACTCCATCTGCCACTCCTCAGCCCAGCTCTGCATCCTATCAATGTCCCTTTGT